GCCCCGGCCATTGGACTTGAGGTCATGATCCAGTGCTACTGACTTTGGTGGAGCCATCCCATCGGGCAACTCCTAGCCTCTAAGCGCATCAAGGCTTGTCCTGGCCTGCCTTGGCCAGGACGCCGCACGGGTTTCTTCCGTTGTAGAACTACCCCCGTGACAACATGGTAGTTTGTCGTTAGAGCGAGTCGACTCAATTTGTAGGGAGGGGGGACTCGTTCGTCTTCTTCGTCTCCAAAGAGAGGTAGAACTAGACATTTCTGTCAAGGAGGGGTATTGATCTGGGAATAGCATGGATGCCCCGTTTTCTTACTTCGATTTTGGCAAAGCTCAAGTTGGTGTGGTTCAACGATTCAGGATCTAAATCCTCCAAGCCACCGCATAAATCTCCTATTATAGAGAAAGTCTCCTTCGTCCAAAGGTGGAAAGGGAGACCTCTTATCCTTACCCAACCATTGAATCTCAGGGAATCTAGGGCTGCATTTACCGTCGGCCACCACCTTTCTAAATTTACCCAATCGTCATAAACCGGAACTGAGTCATGTTTCACCCTAGCCCGAACTAGCTCTTCTGAAGGGGCGAAACCAACTGCTTTTTTGTCTTCAAACGGGAAAAGCTCCAACAAGGCATCAGAGTGCAAGTTTGCAAACATGCCTACTTCTACTTCTTTCCAGCTTAAGGGAGGGATGAGGCTTAGTGCAGACAAACGCAAATCTCCAGTTTCCGAAGGGTTCGTCATGATGGACGACGGGGGGGAAGAGGTTCAGCGGGAGGTGGTACCAGGAGTCGGTCTATTGGTGCAAAAGTAGTTTAAAAACTATAAGAAAGTCCTCCAACCTCCATTGGCTGGTTCTTCAGGAATACAAATGCTTCTTGGCCTTTCTGATTTTTCCCAGCTACTTTGACGAACAAATCTACCCCAACTGTTTTCTTTGAGCTGTAAACAGAGGACTCTTCCTTTGGACACTCTCTTGCGGTCTGTAATGTGTCGTCCATGCTTTTCCACGATTTCTTGGATGAATGTCCTAGTCCATTGGAGATCCTCCTGTAGCAGAAGGATTCTTGACCAAGCTCCCCTTCCACTTTCTGTCACTACAACCTCGTCTTCTTGATTGCCACTTCTTCTTTCTAGTTCAAAGGTTTTTGAGCTGACTGCTATGAACCGCCTTGCCATCTCAGTTTTTTCTAGTTCTGATTCTCCTCTTATTCTTTCTGGGTTTGTCGTCGAGCCAGTCTCCGGTGTTAACAGTTGCTGGTGTTACATTTTCCCTTTCTTCTACTCTCTTACCTTTCTTCAATTTTCTTTTCTTCCTTGTCTCTGCATTACATAATACATACCACTATGACAAATGCCCCCATTTCTTAATTTCCTGCAACAACACTATTGGATATTCATTTATATACTTGTGGTTTTTACTTGCTTTCCATGTTCCAGGGATATTCTATGCATTGATAAGACAGGAACCCTTACTATGGATCGTGCAATCATGGTTCACTATCTTGACTGCTGGTGCCTACCCAAGGAGAAGGTTCTGTGTTTTGCATTTCTTAACTCTTACTTTAAAACTGAGCTGAAGAATCCAGTGGATGATGCAATTTTAGCATATGCTTACACAAATGGACACAAGTTTGAGCCATCCAAGTGGAAAAAGATAGATGAGATCCCCTTCGATTTCATACGCAGAAGAGCATCTGTCATAATAGAAACAGATACAAAAGCAAATAACAGAAATAACCATGGTCCTAACAGGTTTATGGTAACGAAAGGAGCACTAGAAGAAGTGATAAAGATCTGTTCTTCAGTTCAGCTTATCGACAAAGGTGAAACATTGCCTCTCTCCCCAGAAGAGCATCAGAGAATCTTAAATATTGGGGAAGAACTAGGCAATGATGGCTTACGAGTTTTAGGAGTAGCAATTAGAAGGATAAGACAGGTACATTTCTATCTTCATCTTTTTATTTCTACATAGTAGACGCATATTTCTCAATATTTTAATTTTATATGTAGAAATGTCTCTAAGACAAATCAAAGCATGTTTCTAAATGTCTGATTAAGCATATGTTTCAGCTTCACCAACAGAAATAACTTAACTCCATGGAAAGGAATCTAAAAATAATGTATACATATATGACATAATACAATACTTTATGAATTTGCTCTATATAACTTTCTACTGAATGATCATTCTGTGAACTTGAATAATAGGTGGAACCTGCAATTGATTGACATTTAAGACCAACCAATATCCTCATAAAATTAGGATATTTAAAACTAAAAAAAGAACCTCTAAGAAAGATGTGGGAGAAGTCAGCTTATCCTGTTTGTTTCAAACGTTCAATAAGATCATGGGAAAACTATTAAGATGATATCAAAGTAAGGCTGGAATAAAGAGATGCCCCAATTAATGTACTCAAATGACATTTTGAGAAAGAGAGAGTGAGCATGCAATAGGGATATAAACATAAGTTATTAAAAAACAAAAAAAAAGGTTTTATGCCAAAGACATTGATCACCATTTTATCGAGGCAATTTTTAGACTTGTAGAGTATTTTTTTTTTCTTTTGATTGTTTGTAGAGGAAAAAAAATTGTCAGTATCTTATAGCATTTTTTTACTAAAAGAAAGCACAGAATTAAGTTCCTTTAAAAATAGGTATTTTGGATAAGAAAGGGGTTCAAACAAATGGATTGGCATGATGAATAGGGGTGATCATTTGTAGCCTGGCCTGGCCCAAAAATATTTATATCTATAATATATATAAATTTTATACATACATTGCATGCCATATATTGTATGTATTTAATGTTTTACATTTAAAGTCTTGGGCCGGGAACCAAACCCAGACCAAAGTTGGGCTTATATTTCAGGCCCGGGCTGTAGCCCTTATCGTAGGTGCTAAGCCTGGCCCAGTCTGTGATCACCCATTGATGAACATATGATGCAGCAGTAACTATTGTAAGACTACACAAGTGAGAAACAAGAATTTCCAGTTACAAACGAGTACAAAAGAAGATTTTAGTGTTTGTTGTTTGATGATCAGTGTATGTTTTTTAATGACCACAGTAATTCTAATTGATGAGACTAGAGAAGTCACAAATGCAATGTTGGAACTATGGAGTAGTTTAGAATTAACAGGATATATTAAAATGAAACACATAAATTGCAATTTTAGTAAAAAAAAAGGAATAGAATTTTGATTTATTCACATCTATTATCAGGAGATAAGGAGAGGAAGGAATGAAGACAATGTTTCAATAGAAATATGAGTTGCAGGATGAACTAGGGATGTGATTCTGGTTTACAGTGTAGCCAAGGCATGCTAAAACTAGAAGAAGAAAATTCCATATCAGACAGGACATGTCTTGTAGGATAAAACGTTGCACAACTAATAAATATACAGCCACAGAATAAGTTTATCCAAGATGAGAATGTTGAGACAGATTGAGTGGCAATGATGTAATGGACAAACTAGAAAGTGCATTCATGGAAAGCCAAGAGTAACCCCAATAATGACAAGATGAAGTTGACTGAGGTGGCTTAGTAATTTGTATTAAAGAAGCATCAATTACCACTCCAGTGGAGTGATTTCGTGCACGCTAAAAGCTGCTAAAGTAGAAGGGGAAGACAAGAAGGGTATTTAACAGTAGCAACAAATATTTGAGGACATGTGCTCTCGTAAAGGAAATGACCGAGACAAGTGGGATGGTGGAGTAAAGTCCATTTGCCCAGTCTCAAATAATTGGGGTAAGGTTTAGTTGATCCAAGTTTCATTGGATCTTCTATAGCCAAGACTCGCATGAAGCAATTGGATTGTAGTTGGTACCATGTCCTTTAGTTGAATGACTGGCAGATTAAGAACCACTGAAAGGACATCAAGAATCATCTATAACACAAATAAAAACACAAAATTTTCACTTTGTGCTGGTTAAGAACCACCACATGTAAATCAGTAATCATCTATAATGCATACAAATAAATGCACAATTTTTCATATGACAGTGTTTTTTCTTTTCTCCAATCTGATGAAATTTTGAGATATGCAAAGGTTTACTAGCTTTAGATAGCACCTTAACCTTGGGAAATTCCACATATGCTAAAATTCAATATATAACTTATGCATAAAAAGGATTGATTTGGTTCTGGAATAAGAACTTGCATACTTGGTGACAAAAAAAATATTCATATGGAAAAAATAAGCCATTGACAGCTTCCATGCACTAATAATGCCACTTTAATGCCACTTTCTCCAATAACTCTTAGTTTAGCAATCCTATCACTGCATTTGGACCTTTCACCCAACTATGGATTCTTAAATTACTTGACAAAATAGGATTAATCATTCTCTTTGATAACAAATATCTACCATTTGATCAAGAAACATAAAATAAGATGCTATTTACTAGTGAAAATATCATCATCATCATCATCATCATCAAAGCCTTATCTATATGGGGTTGGATACTTGAACCCTGTTATGCCATTCTATTCTGTTGAATGTCATACCCATTGTTAAATTATGAACACTTGAATCATTTCTTATTACCTCAACCCACGTCCTTTTTGGTCTGTCCCTAGCCTTTCCAACCCCTTCAACTTGTAACTGATAATTTTTTCGTAAGGTATTGTAGGTGGTCTTCTATGCACATGATCGGACCAACTAACTTTACTTTCTCTCATTTTATCACATATTGAACCTACTCCTAGGTAACTTTGAATGACTTCATTACTAGTGAAAATATCCCAACATCAGATCTCTTCACCTCTTCTTTTTTGTGCTGTTAGGGAATTGCTTTCCATATTCCACATAGAGAGTTTGATGGTTCGGAGTTGTACTTGAATAAGACGAGAATGTTAGGTTTCTAGTGCTCATTGTTGTCAAGGCATCGCCTAGGCACCATTAGCTGGGCACCTCACCCAGACGACTTGACTTATAGCAATTAGGTGCCTGTCCAGGTGACTAGGCACCTGCCAAGCGACAAAAATGAGAAGGCAGGCACCTTATTATAATATCATTTATATTGTTACATCTTATTAACATGTGTTAATACATTCTATTATATACTGCATATACCATTTGAGAAAGGATTAGCTGAACCACAATAGCTATTCAGTGCGCTGTGGAACCAATGATAACCCTCCATGCCAGTAATAAAATAAATGGGACCCACAACCATTTAATTTCTCACGATGGGCCCCATGTATTTTACCACTGGCATGGAGCATTACCGTTGGTTCCACAGCCTGCTGAAAATCTATCATGTTCAGCTAATCCGTATCTTTATCATTTATACTTTGTTTTTTCTATACTCCCCCCCCCCCTTGTTTTATCATATAAAGTTAATAGCCTTCTTTAGTTTCTAATTGATATGAAATTGCTCTATTAAATGCTTACTATAATGGTATTTGTTTTGAAAATAATGAAATTAATATTATTTAAAAAAATTATCTTTTAGATTGATGATTTACTGCATTTTGAGAGGAAATTTAATGATACTAATAAAAAGGATTGCTATTTTTCAATTAATATGCATGCTGAATGGTATATAAAACTAGGGAACTAGCCAAAAGTTGGTTCTTGCAAAATTCTTATTGCCTTAGAATTGCCTAGATGCCTTGACAACTATGCTAGTGCTACTCCTCTTTGAGGCCCATTTATTTCAAAATTTCTTTTACCATTTTCTAACTATTGACAATGCTTGATTTCATTAGTAGAAGCAAAACCCCTTATATGTAAAAAGCAATGGAAGGTATCAAAGATGGCTGAATTAAAATATAAAGAAATAAATAAAATATCATGGGGAGAAAAGATCATTCAACCCCAATTACAAACAACATTAGCATGTCATAAAGTACCTCCCTCTTTTCCCATCAAGACAAATAACTAGGAACATAGAAACAGATTAAGCAAGACCCAGCTCTGAAATTTTTCTTCTCACATGTAAAACAGAACAAAACCAGATTGATTGCTAGCTACTGTTCCACCAAAACAGCACCTTGATCATGCAAGATTTCTTGAAATCAAATCTTCTTCAATCCATGGTTTTGATGCCATTCAATCTTAAGGCAGGGAAAACAATGAAACTAAAAACAACTTGAAGGAAATATAGAATAATAAAGAAATCTAATGCGGTTCAGATCGATAGCCTACATCCATAGGAAGAGAGGGGAAAATATGCACTATGAGATAGAAATATATCAGCCTACCTCTCTACAACCTCACAACCAATATATCCACTCTTCTCATTTCAATATCCATAGTTATACAATGGCTTATATGACCCAAGTCCTAAATTTTACCTAGAATTACAACAAAGCCCCTCTATCTCTCTCTTAGTTAAACAAAGATCATCATAAATTTAATAACACATTAACACTACATTAAAGCTCATTTTCTTCCAACAACCACCTCTCTAGCTAAGCTGGAAAGTCAAATTGGCAAACCAGAAATTCATTGGACGGAAAATAAATGGGAAGAGCATATAGATGTCTTACAGACACAAGATCATCTTGGTACAAAGAAAAAATTATGATTAAAAAGCCAACTTTTGTCCACTTAATTTCCTTTATGCCATTGCAATGATACATGTCAATTATGTGATCAATCCTTTCTGGGTAATAAACAAGCAATATGTGTAAAAGTATTCCATTGAAACAACTCAATTCCTTGTTTGAAAAATCTGCTTCTAAATCTATGAATGTTAAGTAAATGTTTTCAACTTCTTACCGAAACAAGGACTTAATTGATGCTTATTCATGTTATTAACTTACTTCAATATTTCAGGAATGTAATGGCTTCCATGTAATGAACAATGAGAAAGTTGAAGCAGACATGGTATTCCTTGGCCTTCTAACATTTTTTGATCCACCAAAGGATTCAGCAAAGCAAGCTCTATGGCAGCTGGCTGAGAAGGGAGTAAAGGCAAAGGTATTGACTGGTGACTCGCTCTCCCTAGCAATTAAGGTCTGCAAAGAGGTTGGCATCAGAACCACCCATGTGATAACTGGACCTGATCTTGAGGTCCTTGACCAAGACACCTTCCATGACACAGTTAAAAGAGCAACAGTTTTGGCCCGCCTCACCCCAACACAGAAGCTCCGTGTAGTCCAGTCGTTGCAGACAGCTGGGAAACACATTGTCGGGTTCTTGGGAGATGGAATAAATGACTCCCTAGCATTAGATGCTGCAGATGTTGGAATATCAGTTGACTCAGCAGCATCTGTAGCAAAGGATTTTGCTGACATCATCCTACTAGAGAAAGACCTCAATGTCCTTGTTGCAGGTGTTGAGCGGGGCCGAGTCACTTATGGGAACACCATGAAGTACATAAAAATGTCAGCAATCGCCAATGTAGGCAGTGTTATATCACTTCTTATTGCAACTGTCTTACTACCATTTGAGCCATTAGCACCCAGGCAGCTCCTTACACAGAACTTTTTATACAGTGTGGGTCAGATTGCAATCCCATGGGACAAGATGGAAGAAGAGTATGTGAAGCTCCCCCAAAGATGGTCACCTAAAGGTTTACCGATATTCATGTTGTGGAATGGACCTGTGTGTTCTGTTTGTGATGCTGCCAACCTTTTGTTCCTTTGTTTCTATTATGATGCCTCTAGTTCCTCAAAAAGAAGTTTCTTTCACTCTGCTTGGTTTGTTGAGGGTCTCCTCATGCAGACTCTCATTATCCACTTGATCCGTACTGAGAAAATTCCATTCATCCAAGAAGTAGCATCATGGCCTGTGATCTGTTCCAGCATTGTGATTTCTGCTGTTGGGATTGCAATTCCATTCACCCCAATTGGAAAAATCATGGGACTGACAAACCTGCCATTATCATTCTTTGGATTCCTGATTGTCCTTTTTCTTGGATATTTCTCCCTTGGCCAGGTGGTGAAGAAAGCTTACATTATAGTTTTCAAAGAATGGCTTTAGATGAATGACAACAAACTGATAACAGAAGAATATTTGCACTGGACAAAATCATGGAATCAAATCCCGAACTAGATCTTTCTTGTGTACATATATCAAGAATGAAAGTTAACATGACCCTCAAAACTCAGATGGTAGTTAACATTTTTATGGATACTCTGCTCCTAGAGATTAGTTGAATAACTTACAATTTTCAAAATTATTTTTCCTATATGATGAGCTATTGGGAAGAAACAGAGTCACAGATAATCTCTTTTATTCTATGTTGATGAGGCAACTCTTTTGTCACATGTCACAATTCACAATATGTGGCACAAATAAAAAGAAGCACATGCCATTGCGAGTAACTCAAAACTGTTTGATACTTTTTTCTTTGATGAAGCACCTGCATGAAATAATTTATATGTTCATACATGGCAAATAGACCTAATATAAGAAAGGCATGGTGATAAAATAAATGGAGTAAAATAGATAAAGAAAATGAAATAATGGTAAAATTTTGGGTTGACAAGCATGAGAATGAAGGATCAAGTCTGAGAGCAGCCAGTTTGTGCCAAAAAAAATGCCAAAGGTTAGGTCAGTATCCAGTCTACCCCTCCCAAAACTCAAGAGAGCTGAGGCCATCACTGGATATAAGGAAAGAAAAAGCATAGGACACCTAATAGGTGAGCTTCTTCTCCTTTCCTCTTTTCATCCTTGTTAGAGAACAGATACTACTAGGCTAGACACTTACACTTACCTAAATGGAGATAGTTATTCTTGATATTCCATTCAAAATTCCAATGCTTCCTGTCGTTCTTGAGGGTCCAATATGCCCATCCAAAGGAGGCTTTATTATAAACCTTTAACTGAGTCCTCCCAAAGTCTTGATAATCCAGCTGGCTGTTACATTCCACTCGTTCACCCATTCCCCTGAATCCAATCCAGTTTACACATCATGACAACTATATTTCAAAACTTGAAGACAACCTACGAATTGGGGAAATTCATATGATATCATATTAAAAGTGAGGCTTCTTTGAGAGGACTTAGATCTATATCTTGTCTTACCAATAAAGACAAGTGAACCATTTGCACTGTCTAGGGCCTGTAGTTGTGCTTGCCTGCTCTTGTATATGAACTGGATGTTATCAACAGCACTCATATTAACGAAAAAAGTGTCAAAGAGGTTGTAGTAGTGCAAATCCACCACGATGTGTGAAAAGCTAATATTGGTTTGATAAAGCTCAAATGGATCTGCATTGCCAATTCTCTGGCAAATTATTACATAAGCTGTGGATGAATACTTCCGTACAATTTGGTAATCCTTTGAATAGTACGAAACTAAGAGATCCAGTGGAACAGTAGAGGCAGACGGTTCATTCAAAAACTCAATGCCCAACAAGGCAGGATATTTGGCATACCTGCAAAGAAGTGAAACAAGTCACATAAGCCTGAGTTTTATAAAATAAGATACAATACGAGGTAGTAAATAAAGTAGATTAGCTTTTGAAGCAACAGAGAGCCGGTTCATTTAAAAAGACAACGTAGAGCTTTGCTTGGATGAGTATGGAACAACTAAACACATTAATAGATTCTTTTCCTTCTTAATGGAACAAGCCCACAGTTTCCCTACAATCCAACTTTTCTCTGTGAACTTCTCTTTAAAAATTATTATGAAAAATATATTCTTTCCTTTTTAGGTTCTGATATGGGTCAAGTCATTACTCAGAAAATGATGAAAGATGTATACAAAAGTAGGAAGCTACAGACTATGAAAAAAAGTACAGGGACGTCCAAAACTGGTTTCATTAATGTGGAAATTCACGGAATAATGACTGCCACTGACACTGACAGTGATAGGTGGATGGATGTGGATGTGTGTGCATGCGTGTGTGTGTGTGTGTGAGAGAGAGAGAGAGAGAGAGAGAGAGAGAAAGAGAGCGAGAGAGAGGTAAATGAAGACAAACACAGAACCAGTGATATCAATGTGGAAGCAGCATTCAGATTTTAAGACAGTACCAACATTTGGATAGAATTTCCACACTTCTCTACATATCTCAAGGTCTATGCTAGTGGGTCATCTACTAACTGGTACATACAAATGCAAGTTGGTATGCACATAGGGCACATTTTGAATTGAAACTAGATAAGAGTTCAGCTTTACTAAAATGATTCTGAGCATCCACAAACAAGTTATTCTTCTGTTTCCAATTAACATACACCATAAAGAAGAGCATTTACATTGTGAATACAACCATCCTGTTTGGCGGGTTTTTAGGCTAGGAAACTTTTATGTGATCAAATTGATTGACCAATCCATGACAAAACCATCATAAATGGAGTACACAAAAAACTAATTTTCTTGCAATATGAAAGTGAATTTCACACAAAGGTTTTGTACAAGCCTGGAGTACCTAGAAGCCAGAAAATCTATGACATCCAGGCTTTGTGAGATGTATCCTGGAGATGTAGGCCAGTATGTTGAGCCATCTCTACTGGCACTATGCTCCATCCCATTTTGGGACCCAGGAGCTGCATGAAGGTCAATTATGCACTTTATATTATAGACCCTGCATCACAGATTTGTGAATCTGGGTCAACCAATTCCCAAAAAATTGGAGCATGAATTCAAAGATTAAACTATACAAGAAAAGGTAAAAGCAAGACCTACTGTGCCCATGAGAATGCATTATCAAGAGCCGCCAAGGTTCCTCCAATAAAAGGGGCAGGTGGATTAGGATCCAGAGCAATCCACCAGCCAACAGGAATCCTCACAGTATTTATCCCATGTCTGGACAGAAATCTAAAATCTTCTGGTGTGACAAAACTGTTTCTATGCCTCTGCAGTCACAAAAACACATGAAAAAAATGAAATGGCAGAAGAATCGGACTTTTTTATGTCAACCTAATACAATCTGACAGTCAGAAACAACCATGTCAACCCATCACTAAACAGTTAATCTTTACAAAGTTTATTGAATGATGCTCATCAATGCAGAAATATTTTTCTGAAACAACCATAGAAGATGTAGAGAAAAAAAAAGTATGGATCACTAACAGCTTCTCTTTGATAGGTAAAGATTAATAGTATTATACATAGTTTTAAAGGCACCAAGGCAAGGCTAGGCGACAGGGGGGGTGCCTTGTTGCCTATAAGAAATGGATTTTTTAAGTGAAAACCACATATCCTAGGGTAGTTCCCTAGGTTCCATAACCATCTTTCCTTAATAAAAATCCATAATTTCCATAAGAAAATTATAAATTTCAAGTTTAAGTCTAGAAAATCGACATAGTTATGAGAAGAAAAAGAAGAAAGAAAAGAAAATTAGAAAAATATATGGGGCTATGGGCTGAACCCCAATTTTTGTTATAGGAAGAGAAGAAAAGAAAAGGTGGAAGAAGAACAAGAAGATGTGGAAGAAGAAATGTGTTGATTAGACAAAATTTTAAGTTCTTCCCTTATTGGTTCAGATTTTGAAGTCTTTGAGGGTTCAATACAGCAGTTAGCAATGTTTGTGTTGATTAAACCCTAACAAATAAGAAAATCATAAAAGGAAATTAGTTTATAAACACAAAAAATGAATATTTTTGTTTAATAATGTCTATTTTATAATTATAATATAAAAAAATAACAATATAAAAGTATTTTATAAGACAGTATACAAAACTTCTTGGCAACTGGGCGAGGTGAGCCTCCAAGGGCGCCTTGTCGCCTAGGCGTCGCCTTGACAACGAAGGTACTATATTAACATAAATGACTAAATGAAAGGCTCAAGCCCCCTATACAAAATCACAATGGTTTTCGAAGAACAATATATACAACTATACACCATTTAGGGACATGATAATGATGTTTTTCTGGTCATTACAGAAGCTGCAAAAATTCAACCAAAAACCCCCCAAGTGCGGAGGTCCAAAGGCTGATTATTTTACCCATAACAGCTTAAGCGCATTTTTCCTATAAGTATTCTCTTGCTATGGAAGAACAATAATATTGAAATAAGATTAACATTCAATTGTTAACCATTTTCTTTACTTGAAGATATGTGATAAAAAATGTCTGAGCCCAAAAACATTACCTATACATAACATTTATAACTAGATTTAAGTAGCAATGTCAGGAATGCTGCAATTTCAGAGAAAATGCATTTATATAGTTCAGATTTATCAATCACGATTGGTACCAAAAAATAAATAAATAAATAAATAAAATAAGGGGATGTATGGTTACCTTGAGAACATCTTTGGCTTTTTCATGTCCATACCCATTAGCAAGCTGGTAATCTCCATGCAAGTTATTGGCTACAATGATCATTTCAAATGTGGCCATGTTATTACCCCATCCTGGCTCCCCTGGATAGTCAGCTGCAAGTTGATTTGCTAATGTAGCCTAAAAATTGAAGTATAAGGTGACACATTTATCATTTAAAAATTAAATAAAGTGGTAATTCAAAAGTTGTAGAAACCAAGGCACCTCTCTGGTGGCTTAGGTAAGGTCTAACAATTTCATAGTTGTAAAGCAATACACCTACAGGTGGTTGACTCATCCTTAAGTCCACCCAACAAATGAGATCTACAACAATAAGTTGACCCAATCTACAACAATAATAACTATCACAAATAATCCGGAAGAAAGTTCAAAAGGTTCACCAACATCGTCAAAACCTCATTATTTGGGACTACTTTGTTAAACCTGTTCTGCCATCTGAAATGTTGGATAGTTGAACTCATTAAATTAGGATTTGGGTGCAGAGGCCTTGCAACCTAACCTTTATAAAGAAAAACTACCATCTTAGTGGGATCTACTTAGAGGGGTCCATATTGGGGGCGCCATGCAGATTCTGCCATGAATGTGGGATGTGTGCATAAATCTAGCATTTCCAATTAGGGTTTGGCATCTTAGCAGGACTAAAGGACCCATGAATGACTGATGGACTCCAGCCACACCATCACACTGCATTTGCAACTGCCCCATGGCAGGACACCATGCAGATTCCACCATGAAGGTGGGATTTGTGCAACTGTGCATAAAGGTTATGCACGTAAATCTAGTACTTCCAATTAGAGTTTGGCATCTTATCAGGACTTCAGGACCCACAGATGACTGATGGATTCCAATCACACCACCACACTGCATGCGCCCCATGGCCATGTGCAATTCTATGGAACCCCTATGAAATGTAAGTTTAAATGGCTAAGCAAATCACACCTGGACATAGTTCCCACTTGAATGTCTAATGTGAACACTATTATTGTTGTCACTGTTCCTTTCAATGTAAAATGTTTCTCTTGCAGAAGTTACTGCAGATGTTGCCAATACAGAGTCCCCTTCACTATTACATGTTAGAAACTGACCACCAACAGATCGCAAATGAAATCCTGTGTCGGATACTCTCCATAACTGCAATAAAAGAAATTGTCAGGACAAATAATATAGGAAAGAAATAACTTCTAGATATCCACATCAATGTTGTCAGAATCAAACTGGACCAGGAAGTCAGACCATTAGAACTGGGACTAGCAGCCAAAACGGTTTCTATGTTGCCTGTTTATTAGAAATGTCAACATGATCAAGCAGAAGTGCACTACACACAACAGGGGGTAGTGCATCCCCAAAAGTCAGCAAAACAGATAAGCAGCAGAGGAGGCAGAGAAGGTAAATTAAAAGCTAAGGAATCCGAAGAAGAAACTTGAGCCTCATGAGCCAGCCAATCTGCCGCCTGGTTTGCCTCTTGGAATACATGCCGGTATGTTAGACCTCTGTCAAACAATTCCCTCGCCCAAATGCAGCTTGAAATAATGCTTCTCAGATATACCATATATGCTTTAATATATATTATAACTTATAATATTTATTGTATTTAAGCTCATTTTTATGTAAAATAGTTTTAAGGAGTTAATCTGTTATTATTTCCCATTTTTCAATTTTTCTTTTATGCATGATTGTATTTGAGCAAGTAGAATAGTCAAACCAGATGGTCACATCATTTGAACCAGTGACCCAGTGATCAAAACAGTTTTGTGTTTGGTCCAAGTGCAACAACATTGATCCACATCAATACCTGGTTAAAATTGTTTTATGTTTCTATAAACAAATAGCAAAAGAAAATGCATTTTTTTAGTCAATCAACAAAAGATACTTTCTAAGAAGAGAAGAGTCATGTTCATGCTTCATGGACTAAAAAAGAAAATGTTGCAAATACACTGTCAATTTTAAGTGTTAGAATTAACAGGACTGATACTAAGACTGGCTGCAAACCTATTTGGACTAAAAAAGGTTGGTAGAACCATCCAATTCTGGAATAGTTCATTGTGATATTCTTGTTTTTCCTCCCCCTCCCCGCGCCCCCCAGGTTTTCATGCCAAATCTTTAGTTCTTTAGTTTGCATTAGTTCTCTATTGTGAAGAAATGGCGCATTTATCATGTGTTAGGCTTCTAGCAGCACCATAAACCATTTAACTTTGCAATTATTTGGAATAGACTAGATGTTCTCCTATTTAATTTAGACACGTTAGAGTTTCCATACTATTATGGAAAGCTTAAATATTCATATAATGCATACAACCAATTATGAAGGAGCATGCATGTTAGTCCAAAATGTTCTAAACCAACAAGATTAAATCACCAAAAGCTCACATAGAAAACCACGAACCTTTTGCAAACAACAAATTTTGAACTTCACTGCTGGTATCTTTAAAAGAAATATGCTTCCAGAAACTACAAACAGCGAATGGAACTGCAAATTTGAGGGCATGATTCAAACATCTCTGACATTTTCCAATATCCCAATATCTTCCCTCATTGATAATATTTCTCCATTTCCGAGGGGGAATGAAATATGATACTTGAAACCATAAAAGTAATCAGGGTTTTACCTCTCCCCTTTCATTGAAAAACAAGTGTGGCATCCTAAACCATCCAGTATCTTTCTGCCAAATCCTCTTCCCATTCCATCACTACCAAACCTGAAGCTAATACTTCTCTAGGAGAATCCTTTGGTTCTCAAATGTGCCTCCTAGAGTGAATTCCTTTGTTTGGGAATTGACTGGGGAAAAAAACACTTCTGAATTTCTTTAGAGTGGATAAAGTCTTAATTATCCCCCCATGTGTTCATTATCAAGAAGAAAAGACAGGCATTCATCTGCTCCTATATTGTTCAATGGCTAAAAGACTTCGGTATGTCTTCTTGAATCTTGTTTGTCAAGAATCGATGACATCATGCATTGTCATTGACATGGTTAAGAAGTGGAAGGGTCATTAATTAGGACCTAGAGAAAATATCTTTTGGAAGGTCATCATTCATGATAGGTGTATCATTAAAAATCAAAAGATGAAGACAGTTTAATAGTATAGCTATAATACCCCCCAGGTTTTATGGATTAGATGTTGAGCAATCAAGGAACAAATCATCATCATCCAAGCCTTGTCCCAACTATATGGGATGAGATATAGTTATGAAACCTTAAATCATTTCTTACTACTTGAACCTATGTCAGCCCTAGCTCTTGTATCCCATTCAACATGAAACAGATCACTTCTTCCTACCGGTGCTGTAGATGGTCTTCTCTATACATGACCAAACCATCTTAGTCTACAGATCACTCCTGGGTTCCTTGAATGAGTTAATTTCTGATCCTGTCCTTTTAGTTTTCTCACTCATTCATCTCAACATTTGCATTTTGTGCCACACTTGCTCTTTGGACGCTCAGATGATTGGATGGCATTTAGTGAAGGGTAAATTTATAACTTAGTTTATTCAAGGAAACTTGATAAGCTCCAAGAAGCATTAATAAATAAGGAAAGTAGTGAATGATGGAGCAAGTTGAAGGCTACAAAGGAACCAGGCAAGGGTTATAAGGTTATTGAACAAACCAGAACAAAGGAATCAGTTGCTGCAAGTTGAATTCTTAAAAGATAAAAAAAAGGAAATAAATGAAGGATCCAGGTTGTTACATAAGATTTGTCAACTCATTCTTTAACAGAAGAAATTTGGACAAATAAGCTTCATGTCAATGCCATTTAAGCAGGATAAGACAGATTATTATGGGCAGCCCAGTAGCTCAGTGAATGAGGCTCTCGCCAATGCAGCAGGGTCTGGGGTGGGACAGATGTATGCAGCCTTACCCCTGCACATACAGAGAGGTTGTTTCCAAGATTTGAACCCTTGTCACCCAGGCCGCAACAGAGCAACCAAATCGTTGTGCCAAGGCCCACCCTCATAAGACAGATTATTATGATAACAAAAAAAAGAGATGAATTTGACAAAGAGGAAAATGCCTATTATCCTTGCATGAACCAAGCAACAGTGAAATCATTCTGGGATTGAGACATTGGACCAACATTAGTAAAAGCTGTTCAATTGACCTTTAGATGAATTTATGTTTCATATATTAATATCAAAAAAATCTGCCAACCCCATATAGTAGGGATAAGGCTTGGATGATGATGATGATGATGATGATGATGATGACATTACTATCAAAAAATCTACTTTATAGACATAAAGATGAACAATGATATCTGCATGCACAACCATGAGGACAATATCTAAATCAACAAGTTTGACAAATATCCACTAATGGACATAATAAGAAACGCTGATGGAATAGTAGCCTTAGTATTTAAGTATATGATTAATAAAAACGAAGTATTTAAGTATATGCGCTAATATCATAGCATGATTTCCTAGGGTCAACACTGAAACTATATGGAATAGCAGCACTATGATCACCAATGATGATTTTGCTCTGGCTCAAGACTACAGGTGGTATGGAGGGACTATGCTTCAAGAATAGTATTTGGCTTATCATGTTTGTGTACTCATAATGAATGATTTAGAATGTGAAAAACAAAAATAAAAAGGACAAAGAAAAGGAATTGCATAATTTGAACAACAATTAGTTATATTTTCTTGCCAAAATCTATGTTAGAATCCAACTTGAGACTGAAATGTTCTTCAGCAGCATTTACTGTTTTATGGTTAGTTTCTATTCATATAGTGTTTATTGTATTATGTACAATTAAACCTAAAGAAAGTGGCAACATATTTCTTTTGTATTGTTCTTACTATATGTATACTTCAAAGTTCAAATACATGATGAAAATCCAATACTTTATCCAGGCATTCCTTCCTTGTTTGAAGGTCTAAATTCTTGGCAAAGTTAGAAGAAGCAGAATATTGAATATGACATAAAAGTCAACACTAAGCCAAAATCATATCATTGCATGTGTCAAATTGAAATATGATTGTTCAATTAGTAAATACTTCTTTTACTTCTCAGGCCAAAATTACCCATGTCCAATGGTTCTAAACCCAAAACCACATGATTGACTTCATTTAACTTGTCTCAGCTGTATAAAAATATCAAACCAAGACTCATTTTTTTGGTGTAATGAGTTGGTTACAAGTTAACATGAGTAATATCCAAGTCTGATGTTATAATCCCAAAATGGATGCACTAACTTGCCTCTTTTTTTTCATTAACCTAGACCGGAATTTGGGCACATAGAATTGGCTTCAGGTGACAGCTTTCAACTTTTAGTAACCTTCTATCCCTCATTGGGATCAACATATCCAGTGCAGCATCCTCTTGGAAACATCTTTTCTTGTTTTCCCTAATAGAAGAGGTTTAGTAATGTATTAGTGGGTAAAGGCAGATGTAAACACAGACTTTGGTACCACTAAACAGTCTCACCTACTTAGCATTCTGAAATCCTCAATTTTTCTAAGTGTGAGAAAAAATCACAGCCCCAGAAGGATCCATCTAAACCCGAATAATCATCACCTGTTACCATACAGCTTTAATGCCAGAATTCTTACATTACCATGCAAGCACGCAAATTTCTCACCACCACCACTAGAAATGTATCTTTATGCAAACAACCATCTTTCCAGTGTAAGTTTACATATCAGACTAACAAATTTAGTTCTCATCTGCATAAATTGCAAATTGATATGCTTAGAACAGATGCACTTTTCACCTCCCTCAACTAGTGCCTTCACTGAAATGCCTTGATGCCAAAGACTTGATTTGACAAAAGAAAAGGCCATGGAGAATTAACTTCATACTTAAATTATGTACTTGGTGACGAGAATGAAGATGGGGAGGGAAGGCCGTAGGCGCACAGGTATGTTAAACATCTATCGTTCTCTGCCATGAAAATAAACAGACCTTCATTCAAGTGATAAAGAAGATTTTTTAATCCAATAGAGGAGAAATTTTAGGTGCCCTAAAGAAATAAACAACCAAGAGATTGCTACACAACATACATACTGATAAAAAAAATGTTACGCGGCATGCACACGCAATGTGGTCAGATTTCTTACTCTGAAGGTTTCCCATGCAGAAGGAACGTCTCTGTCTACAGTTACACCCAGACCTCCCCCATTTTCTGCACTCACGTATTTCTGCAGAGCCATTGATTTGAACTGCACCTGCGTTCCGTCCTACATTTCAGTCCCCAAAATTGTATCAGCTGCCTTAAATTATGAAAAAAAAAACAGAAGGATAAAAACCGAAACATGAAAAGAGGAGAATTTTAGAAATAAATTTAAAAAAGATAATGCAGGGCAATTTACAAGCATATCTCCATTTGGAATGCCGTCAAACAGAGAAGGTTTAATCCATCCTTCCACCACCAGCCACCCGCCCAAGTTCACTCCTCTAACCTTACCAGAGTGTGCACTAGAAACCCGAAGCAAGCAACAGAATAGAAACACAGGTACCCAGTTGCAGAAAACAATTTCCATGAAAAAAAAAATGATGGATTCACGAACACAAACAACCGCTACACCAAGAAGAAGATGCAACCAATTACGCAACAAGAGAAGCCCATTAAGAAGATAAATTAAACGCCCAAAAGCCTATGTTGGAGAATGTCAGTATTCTTTCCTTATCACTCAATTAATTCCAAGCAGAACCTTCTAAATAAGTATAAAGCTTCAGTTTGCCTTTGTTATGATATTCTTCTTAATTCGTTATATCATCTGTGTAAAACAACAAAAAGGTGGCAAAAAATATTAAATCAAAGAACTTAGAGAAGAAAGGAACAATATGCTGGGCATGTTACATAAAATTTGTTTTTAGCTCAGGTTGTCCTTCCAAGTTGAAAACTGTTGGATACTTGGATTAGAATCTTTGTTCAAACTTCACAGAGTTCACAATCCACGTTCAATAAAATTTCCAGCATTCGCCCAAAGAGAATAGCCTTTCCTTTCCTCCCAAGTGAACGTGAGGTTAAAAACAATGCACTGCATCTATTTAAATTAAAATTAAATAAAGTCTGTCTATGGATATGGATTTCCAGGGATTAGCATTTGGTTGGTTACCGCCTTACTGGTTAAAAAAAATAGACAACCCAAAAGTGACGACGTAAAAATTGAGCTCTTAAAATGGCGGAAGGGAATAAGAACTAGAAGAGGGGTCCCAGTTCCACCATGACACCATCTATTACCAAGTTTGTTGCTTACTTTGGGCCTGGTTGGGAGGACTTAACTTTTTGCTTCTGGTTCTGAGATGCAACTTCCAAAGCTTATACGGAAAGCCATTTATCACGCTTAAATTCGAGCCTCTGGACTTTTTACCAAATGTTGCTTAAAGGTTTATTGGGTTAGCCCCATCTCATCTCATAAAGCCAAAAAGCATCAAGCGTGAAAACTGAAAAGCCCTCTCAATTTGCAAACCGATTCTTCGTAGTTGGAGGCCGTGGGTCTTGAGGCGTGAGCTTTTCTTTGTCAATTGTCAAGCTCAGGCAAGTGGAGAGATTTTTAAAGTCCACCCATTCAGCTAAAATGTATCAACTTCCAGGTGTGGTTTCCCTTGATCAACTATTCAATTAATTGGTGAATTTGAAGCATTTTAACAAGAAGCAGAGGAAGGGAGCTTGACATCCAAGAAATTGACAAGAAAAGCCAAATTAAATAGACGAGCATCTCAAAATCCCAGGTCCCTATTGAGTTTGGTTTTACAGATTGTATTCCACTTAATATCGTCAATTCTTTTTTTTTCCCTTTGCCTCTATGAAACTGTCCCACCAAAACATTCTTTGATGTTTAAGATTAAGAGCCCGTTTGGGTGGGTTTATGTGTTTGGGGTGGTGCATTCTGCATTGTGTTAATTGAGCTACAGTAGGTTGAGCACTAGTGTTGCAGGTAGCTTCACATTTGAATAGTGGTTTGGGCATTTGGAAAGCCTATATTGGCTTTTCGGATTTTTACCAAACACAGCTTACAGTGTTCCCATGTGGGATCCTGCTAGGGGGGTGAATGCTATGTGGGATCCTGCTCAGAATGATAGAAACCGCATCTTTAAAACCTTCTCAAATGGGTATTAAATCACATAATTTCTTAAGGATGAGAAAGCATGACATGGAATAAGTAGGCAGAAGTCTAATCTTTACTTTAAAAAAAGAGTTTCCTTCCCTACAGGCGAGAGGAGATGGTTCCAAATTTGGACTTTATGATCAATTTTGCCATGTTCATTGGGGCTTGAGAGACCTGGATAAATAGCAGGTTTTTAAACCCTGACCTAGAGTGCATGTTTGGACTAAAAAAAGCTTGATTTTGAGCAATTTGCTTGCGGTACAGAACCTTTTTCATAAGCCTTATAGCATTCAACATGCAAATTTCTTAGGCTGCCTTTGGAAACGAGGCAAATGGAGTGTAAATTCCGGTTCAGAATAAATTTGCACTCTGGTTCACTTTTGTCTGTGTTTAGCAATATTACATTTATGCATTGACAAATGACAGGCCAATACATATTTACATTGATAATAGATGTAAAAGTTCATCAATAAAAAAGAAGTAAATTTGCATTCAAGTGGGCTTTTGATAAAAGAAAAAAACATATGCTTTATTGAAATTCATGTTTGCATCCATTACAGTTAAAAGTCTATTTGGTAAGAAGGTAAATTTGTTAGTGCAAAATTAACCCAATTATACAATTTATATGAACCGTTTTACACTCTACATATTTGCATTCACACTTATTTGCATCATTTCCAAACACATCATTAAAAGATATCTGCCTCGGAAAAAAATGTAACTGACATCCACCAAAAATAAGTTGAGACAAGCAGATGAATCCATCGATTTTCACACTAGAGATCTTCTTTTGATTGATGAAATTATTGATTTGAGACGACAAAAGATTGATCTAAAAGAACCAAAACCAGGTACCTAATTGTTCTGAAATATACCAAAACCAAATCAGGGCAGTAGGCAGTAATACAACAATTTGGGTGATCGCATTGACTCCCCACAGCACATCCCAGTTGTACTGGGAACATCTTCCCGTGACAAATATAAGAGATGTTCCCAATGCACACACAATTTGGTGGCAGCCAACACCAACACTTAAGAGGTGATGGATAATTTTTTCTTCAGCTGAATTTGAGCCATACCCACCTATTGTAAAGAGTTGATTACAAATTTTTGGTAAACTAAAGTCAATTTCAAGAGTTAACTCATTCACGCTGGAGTGAGCGTGTTCTCAAATTTTGACATTATTGCTAAGAAGATGCCATTACTAAGATGGAATTTCATAAATTTAAAGTCTAATGTTTGAAAAATCACAAAGCTATTATTCGGGTTTGAAATCTCAAAACAAGTAGAAATGATCTTTTACATTTTAGAGGCTCTAAAAAGATATAATCGTTTGAATTTGAGCAATTTTCCAAAATCTGAAACTATGAAGTTTATACCCTTAGAAATACACTATTTGATAATATTATAACTAATATAAAGTATTAAATAAAACATTTTTATATTAGTAAACAAATATTATGATTTATTGAAATAAAAAAAATTATTTATTATTTATTTAATAATAATATTTATTTTTTATTATTAACTAATAATATATAAAAACATTTTAATTATAAACAATAAAAAATATTGTTAAATATTCTTATAACTAAATATTATTATTGATTTAAGTTAAAATGATATTATTTATTATTTTATAATAATATTTATTTATTTTTATTAAATAATAATACTATTATTACCATTATTGTTGATAATAATAACAATATATTATTTAATAGATGTTATTATTTATTCAAATAAAAAATAATGTTATTTATTAATTATTGAAAAATAATTATTTCATAATAATATTTATTATTATTATTATTATTAAATAGTATTTTTAATATTATGAAATAATATTTAACATTATTATTTAAGTACATATTTTTATTATAATCTATTATTATTAAATAGATGACAGTAATGCAGACATTAACGTCATTTCATCACATCTTAAATGTGTCTAATTTTGGTAAGACCATAAGACATGAGAATGGTAGGGGTGATCATGGGCTGGGCCAAGCCGGGCTTTGCACTTATGATAAGGGCTACAACTTATGCCCAAGCCCGGCCTGGCCCAGAGTTCCGGGCCTGAAGCATAACATGCATATAAACTTGTTTTATACATTATATAATATAAAATATTACATATAATATAAATTATACATGTCATGTTATAATATTTATATATAAAATATATAATATAATGTAAAATAACATATATACATATGTATACATTATACACAAAATGTGTAAGTTTAAATATATGCGGGCCAGGCCGGGCCCGGGCCGGGCTTGAAGTATTAAGCCCAAGCCCGGCCCTAAAATTTGTGGGCTGGGCCTGGATCAACCTGAACACTAAACTCAGGCCCAAGCCCAGAATTTCCAGGCCGGGCTTGTGCGGGCCAGGCTGAAATGATCACCCCTAGAGACTGGTTCTTAGCATTTTAGACATCTTTTCTCTTTCTAGTATTAAAAATAGACTTAATTCCAAATGTCCCTTACTTCTGAAAAGCAAGTTTTTTAGAGATTTTTGAAAAATGTTATCAAATGCCACATTGCCACCTAAAAAGCTGCATTTTCTTGCCAATCATATATATATTTTTCTTGTCTATGTTGTACTATTAAAGGACTTTCCTGTTGTGAATGTGATAACAGCCACATGGAGAACCAACGTTTTAAAAAACGACCCGAAAATGGAACCATTTAGGCCACCAGTTTTCAAGTCGACGGTCTGATCATCCGGTTCGAATGGATGATCTATTTTAACAGCAAAATTAAAAAAATTAAAAAATAAAAAAAGGTCAAAACCGTTGAACGGGTCGACGGATCGACCACCAGAGTCAACGGTTTGTTGATTTTTTCAACAGTTTTTTACCAGGTTCTAGATTTGAGTAAAACGGAACCAGTTACCTGAACGATTTCCGGGCCAAATGGTCCAACCATCTAGATCAATGACGATTTGAAAACGTTGTAGGGGAACATCTCCTATATACTTGCATGTTGTCATACATGGAAGATGTTATCAATGCATTGCTGCAATGTACTACGTGAAGAGCAAAATCAGAATTCATGAATTCCACCATGTTTTTATTTAACCCCAAACTTTATTACAGGTGGAGGGGCGAGGACGCACAACCAAAAGACTGAAACCTCCCTTCATATTTGTTATAAATACTAAAACTTCTTCTCACTTTTTAAAATGGAGTAATACCTCCCCAGTCAAATAAGTTAGCCGTTATATTTAACGGAGGGAATTAAAATGTCTAATATAGCCCTACAAACTAAATTTTGGACAACTATAATGGTGCTAAATAAGGCAAGAGAACTGATTAGGTGAGACAACTGTGTAAGGACTTCATCCATGCGTTCCACCACTGAAGCGTGGGGTAGAAAATCCATGGAAAAAGCCAGTGGTTGTGCAAATGAGGGAGGGAGAATCCCTTCTTTAGTATACTCTGTTAATCTACATGCAAAATATTTCCACCAAAACTGCAAAACCGAGGACGAAAGATAGCCATAGTTGTAGAGGATTCGGTGGACCACAATTAAGCATTTGTCACGATGACCTATCTGTTCTTTATTGTTTCTTTGGTGTAACAGGCATTTAGA